TTCCTCTTGGCCATGCCCCTTGACTGGGAGCTCACTCCTAATTAAAACATACAGGATTGGCTCTAATTGCTTTTCTTCTCTGGAACCACAATTGCAAAAGGTCCTCTGAGTTCGTAGAACCCACTTCCATCCTGGTATCCATGGACCAGGCAAGGGAACTGACTCTTTCATGGTCATACAGCTCCTGACGGAGGTGGGACCAGAGTCCTTATCTCTTAGTCCCCAGAGTTGATACTTTTTTCTCCCACTCACCTCCAGTACTACTCTCTGGAACAATAGACAACCAGGTTCACCCCTTTTCCATGTGACACCTATGGAATCTGCCTCCAATTTTCTTATCTAGAGCCTTTAACCATTTCTCAGGTGACAAGAATTCTGGAGCCTTCTGAACAACAATCAGTGTTCTCTGGATGTTTTCTAACCTGCCCACTGCATGAGGTTGGCCAGGAAAAAGACAGTGGGATCCCTGCCCTTCAGAAGGCTGACATCCATCCTGGAAGTCTCAGATCTAAGTTTGGGCCTTGCTATACCCAACAGTTGTTGCTGAACCTCTTGGGACCGCAATCCCCTCTCTGTCAAATGAAGTTGTAGTCTGTCTTGCTCATTTCTTGGCGTGTTTTGAATACTAGACACTCCCTCTCTAGGCCTGTGAGCATGACCAATATTATTATAATGTCCTTTGCAGCAGCTGTGCTTCTAGTTGATTCATGTGGAGTCTTAGGTGGATGACAATCTCTAAATGCTTTGCATATCATCAGCTAACAAGTTAGTACCCCTCAACCCTCACCTCCATCCCTAAATCATGCAGTGGATATTTCTTAGAGGAAAACCTCCTCCAGCCCATTGGTTCTCCCTACTCTATAACTGGCCACACTTTCCTGGCCACCCACCCATATAGCCTGATAAGACACTGGACCTCACAGATGGACCTCATGCTCATGGACTGGAGCAGGGATGGCTAATAACGTTCCTCTTATGAGAGATTTAAGCCTGATCGGTAGTTGGGGGCTGCCTGGAGGGTTGTATTGAGAAAGATGCTGAGCTACACCTGGACTCATAGGAATGTGTTCTGTGATTGACTAGCAATGTCTGCCATTGGCATAGGCATGGTTAGGGATGGTGTCTATGCCAAATATTTGGTATTTCCAGTCTAGTGTTTCCCCTACCACAGTGAAGCAAGAAGGCAATCAGACCTGTTCTGAGAGGCTTCCTTGAGTGACTTTAGGGTTCAAGTGCTCCATCAAAGGGTCAATTATCTATCCCCTGCTGTGTTGCTACCTAGAGCTGTGCTATCAAATATGGTAGCCACTAGCACATGCGGCAAGTTACATTTAAATTAATTACAACTAAGTTAAATATTTAGCTTTTCAATTACATGAGCCACATTTCAAGCACTCAACATCTGAACGTGTCTGATGCTGCCACCTATTTCTATCATCCCAGACAGCTCTGTTGGACAAAACTTGACAGGACCAGTGGTGTGCACCAAGTGGCGGTTGTACCGACCAATGGACATTTTTGGCAACATCCTAAAGACGTAAGTTGTCACAACTGGAAATGAGTTGCTACCAGTATCTAGTGGGCCAAAGATGTCGCTAAACATCCTTCAAACCACGTGACAGCTCCATGACAAAGAGTTATCCAGCCCCAAAGGTCACTAGTGCCAAGGCTGATGCTGGTCTAGAACTCTGCTTTAGAAGAATTCTGGCAGGTGGGGAGTAATATTAAGGCAAGGAGAGGGCAATGTAGTCTTTGCTTTGAACAATAAATAGACGTAACATAGAAAGAACTGAGAAGACGGGCCGCCCACGGCTGTCAGAAAACAGAAGAAAAGCAAGTCACTAAAGTTCTCTGATTCTCAATTTCCTCCTCTATAAAACTGGGACATCATCATCCTCCCTTGGTAGCCAGTGAATTAAAAGAGGTAATGGATGTGAACAGGCTTGTTATCTGCCTCTGGGAAAGGGTGTTGCTCAATTTGTTACCTTGACCAGTGTTGTTTATTAGATGAAATGGTCTGGTCTCTAGCAGAAAGGCACTGAGTTCTAGTTTCACTTCACCTGGCTTGCCTGGGGTTGTGTAAGCCTCCAAATCTCACTTCTTCATCTGTAAAATGGGGCTAATAACTCACCCCCAAGCTCACAGGAATATTTAGTGTGAATCAGACATTTAATCCCACTGAGCAACTGTTTCTCTCTCAACTCAACAGCCAGTCCAGCTGCCCTCCATGAAACTGAAACTCAAACCCCAGCTGGTTCCCAAGAAACAGCTGAAAATGCACTCAGAGACAAGTTCCCCTGGGACCTGGAACCTTGAAATTCTTGCTACCCTGAGCTGGAGTACTGGTCATGTATCTGGTAAACACACTTTGCTGGTTCTGGAGGATCTTGCTTCCATTGCCATTTTTTAAAGTAAATAAACATCAGGGAGATATTCCAGGAAAAATAGAACAGAAAGGGCAAATTACGAAGCTGGGTGAGTCATGCCCGGGAAGGAGGTGATTCAGATGAAGCTGATGGTGTCTCTGGGTCCTTTAGACTGAATGAGGGTGTGTGTGTGTGTGTGTGAGAGAGAGAGAGAGAGAGACCTGCCTTAATGTGCAAAGACCTGGTTTGTTTAATAAAACGCTTTTTGGTTGCCTCCATGTAAACTGGAGCTGAGATTTGAGGCTTCAAAGATGACAGTGGAAAAAGTTTTGGAGGCAGGGGCAATAAGGAGATTAGGGTGGTTATTTCTAATGTGGGGAGCTCTAGGAGGTTCCCCGGATGCCAGCCTAGATGGCAGGAGCTCACTAAGCCCAGCACTGTCACTTCAGAGCTGTGTGTCATTGAGCAGGTTGCTTTCCCTCTCTGTGCCTCAGCTGCACCATCTGTGAACAAAGGCGGTTGGATTTGGCAGCACTCTGGGGCCTTCTACTGGTTTTAAACCCAATTTTTCAAATAATTTGATCTAACTTAGTATAAATATTAAGTATATGTTATAACCACAGCATTCAACAAACATCTGCTTAAAATGGACCTTTCAGATCATTGTTTTTATCTGCCAGGGAGGAGGCAAACTAAGACCCAGCAAAGGGCCCTCTCATTGTAGCCTTGTAGACCACAGCAGAGTTCCTCTTTTTGGCAGCTTGAGGTGGTTCTCTTCTGCTCTGGAGCCCTCCGTTCTCATCCACAAATGCCACAGATGGGCCTGATCTTCCCCATGGGGAACACCAGCCAAATGAAACCTTTGCAGTAGTCAGACCCTAATGAAGCTGTGCGTGTTCTCCATATTTGTGAGATGATTCGCTGAGTTTTGGCGAGATGAGTGCTGAGCAGTAATCTTGAACACGAAACTATGCTATGTCTATTTATTGTTCAAAGAGTAAGTAATCTGCGGTTTTGTTAGAGCCAATCAGTGGAAACCCTCTTCTCCAATTTGGGTGGGCACCAGAACCATCTGTGATGTTTTAAATCTGCAGATCTCCAGGCCCCTTCCCCCAAGACTGTCCAATAGGGCTGGGACTAGCCCAGGAATCTCCATTTTATAATGCTCCCCCCACCCCCACCCCAGCTAAGTCTGACAGGTAGGAACTCAGCAAACCACACTTGGAAAAATACCTCCCTGGGTGCTGAATCCTGGAAAAGATCCGAGATGGTCTCACCCAAGTGCTTTATGTTTTAGAAGGGGAAACCAAGCTCCCAATGGGGAAGGGACTTGTCCAAGGTCACAGAGCTGGCACAGCCCAACCCAGGCTATTCAAGGTGGCATCAAATATTTGTTGGTTGGTGACATGCAGCTCCTCAAAAGCCAGGAGATGAGGAGATTCTCTCTCCTTCTCCTTTCTCTTTCTCTCCGCACCCACCCCCACCTCCTCTCTCCTTCTCTCTGCTATCATTTTCTAGAACTCATTCATAGCCTAAGACTACATGGGCCCCTCTCTTGTCAGCTACTCCAGTACACACTAGACATATCACCCAGACACCGCAGAATACAACTTAGGTCAGTAGCAAAGACTATGCCCAAGTTCACCACCATCCAGCTGGACACTAGAAGCCCCTGTAAGACACTCAGCCTCCATGAGCTGGTGCACTGGACAGGAAGGCATCTCCTTGGACGGCCACAAAGTGAAAGAAACAGCCTAGTTTTCCAGGCCCCTGTGTCCACAGGCAGGCCAAGGCCAGACTGGGCAGCTTGGAGCCAACTGGGAGCCAATTGGAGGCAAATGGGCTTTTCCCTCCCAGACTCCTCTGTGGGAAATTTGCAGAGAGGTGGCAGCCATAGGCCTGCAGCTGGCAAGGTCTTCACAACTCCTGGGAAGGAGGTCTGTGTTAAAGGGTAGCCCCCTCCCTGCCCTGCCAGCCAGGACACTGAGGCCTGAGGATCTTCTTCATTCAGAGAAATGCCTGCTAACGGGTATGCCGCATAAAGCTCCTCCTCTCAGACCGAGTTTGAGTAAGCACTGCCTGAAATGGAAACCTTCAGCCACAAACCACCACTGCCCTTCCCCCAACACTCACATGCACTTCACTTGAAATTAAAAAACAAAACATTAAAAGTAAGGCTAATCATCAACAGGATTGGAGGCACGAGAGGGGAAGAGTCAGGCTCCCTGGCCTTAAACTTGAAACCAGTTCAGCAAAAATTACTGGTAGTTGAGGAAAAACATGAGCCCCTATGTCCACCAGCTAACATTCCACAGTGGAGGCTCGCTCACGACTTTAAACATACTTCTTAAAAAATGAGTGGTTGGGTCCAGACAAGGGGGATCCTTAAAAGTGTCCACATGCCCCAGCATTCTTTTTAAAATCCTTCCTCCGAAATACCCTTGTTTTAGAAGTGAGCAGCCCAGGCCACCCACAAAGGGATGAGGCCTCAAAATTTTCAACACCAGAAAGGCCTAAAATAGACCAAAGACCACAGGCCTGCTGCCGCTGCGGCCCCCAAAAGCACATTCCACAAAATTAAAATTTGCCTGCCAGCCTGCAAGGTGCCCATTGCAAACCCCAGCCCGATAGTACCTTCTCCAAAATAGGCCACAGGTCACAGGAGCCACTACTGCAGAAGTGGTGTCCCCAGGCGGTAGTGAAAGGACCCCACCAAGCCGGGAAAGCAGGGGTGAAGGAGGAATGTCAGGAGCACCATCCACACACACTCACACACATCCCTTCCCTGCCTGCTCCTCCTCGCCGGTCTCCCTCCACCCTCCTCCTGAGCCAATGTGATAACAGCAGCTGAGTCGACAAGTCATTTCTAAAATTAGCCCGTGAGCTCCAGGTCTGGCCAGGAGACAGCCTGGGGTGGCCGTTGACCATGCAGAGGAGAGCATGGACATATTTGGTGGCGCTGAGCAGGGAGGCGACAGCTCCGGACACAAGCACATTCTAATTCGTCATCCCTGTCCCAGGGCGGGCCACACACCCATCTTG